TCCCTTCATATAAGGATCTACATTACATAAACTCCTATAAGTTAATTCATTAATTCATTATAGATAAGAACCTAAATATTAGGTAGGTATTTTTGAACTAGGTATTCATAATTGTAAATTAAAGAATGTTTAAGATACCTATATTAATAATTATTAATATTGGTATATCATAAAATGTAATAAATATAAATTATAATACATATATGTACGTAATATTTTTTTTAACATAGAATTAAGTTACTAAAACACCATATGGAATATGATTGTTATAATTTAGAATACCTAAATTAATACAAGTCTCCATTTATCAAACATTTGATAAACCTGTCTTTCAGTTGGATTTAATTGTGCATTGGCCAAAACTTTTATATATTCCATTTCATCATCCAAGTCATTGAGCGTGGTTAATTTTATTTCATGATAGGATTTTGCTGCTGCTGGAGTCATACCAGTATTAAAATAGTTAGTAAAATMGTTTTGTACTTCATTGCTAACTCTTAAAAAGCTATATGCTTCTGCATTGTGGACTTTGTGGGAGTGCATAAAATCAATCTTTTAAAAACACAATTAATAATACAATTATTTAGTGAAATATTTTTTTTTTTCAATAGAAAATAAAATGATTGGGCAGTTTTGTACGATGCCTACTATGATGTGTGTCCATTAAATTAGGTAAAAAATAAACACCTAACTAAATAATTTAAAATTAACAAATACAAGAATTGAGAACATACTTGTACTTCGAAAATTAATCCTCTTTGTAGGTATTGATCTCTCCTTCTGGTATCTATTGTATCTTTTTTTATAACTATTTTTATAAAAGCTTTGCAGTTTTTGTCCCTAGTCCTATTTTTTTCTTCAAGATGATTCTTACTTTTATTTTTTGAAGAATGCTGACACACATAGTCTTTTCTATAAGCATAGTTAATTTTATTTGAAAATGTGGTTTTTACAATCCAATTAGTTTTTGCGGAGGTCGAAAACATATGAACCCATTCATCACATGCATTACTGTAAGAATTTGATTCGATTTCAATTTTAGTTCGAATAGTAACACTGAATTCATCAGTACTTATTACATTTTTTTTTTTTTTATAACAGTACAGTTAGAATCAAAATTTAAACAGTTCAATGTTGATATTTTAATTATTTTTTAACACTTATTAAAAAAAAAAATAAATAATTTATAGTCATGTTCATCAAATAAATTGTTATCTTCATGATAATATAACCTATTTGTGTTTATAACAACTTGATAATTTTTTAACTAACTTGTAAAAATAAATTATTTATACCTATATTTTTTATAAATAAACTGCAGGGCTCAGATATTTAAGACATTCCATGTACTTTTCTATCAATCCAATTTATATATTCTATCGAATCAAGTAAACTATTTTTTACTTGGCATAATAATGCATAATACTGCAAATTGTATGGTTTTTAATTCTTTTACAAATATAAATGCATATTTCTGTATATATTTTATATATTATTATTATATATATAATATAATATATATTATTTCTAATGATAACAACTGATAGTAAATTAATTTCGCGCCCAATTCAAATAGGCCAATCAGAAGTATGAATTTAATATCGTGGCTAGTTTCCATAGATAATATATAGAGGATAGGCTATTCCAATACCTACAACCCATGGGTTTGCGTGCCAGAAGAGCCCCAGACTAACATTGTTTATGGTAACCTGGTTATCAATGGTTACGTTATTCTGTTATCTTGTCAATGTACGAAATGATGAAATTTGAATTATTAAACATTTTACTGAGTAGTGAGTACACAGTACACTATTCAATTTTATTAACTTTTGTGGTAGGTACAGTACAATTAATAATACATGGTATGATCGCAAAAGTCCATATATGGTTCAAATCTGCGCACACGTAATTTGCTTACCCTTACTATCATAGGAATTGTCATTAAATTATTACTGCTATGTATAAGACAGCATGTTATGACACGTACCGACCGTCAAAAAATTATGAACATATATTTTTGTTTAAATCGTGGTAAAATTTAAGTATAAAATTCGTATAATTATGCTTAAAAAGTTTCAAAACACATGAATTATCTATATAAATTTCTTGATTTATGTTTATTTAATATTTTATAATTACTAATTAGATATAGTTATAATCAGGGTTCCTATTATATTATCTGAGTTAAATCCTTATATAGGTTAAATTCAAATTAAATAAAAATTTTATATTTATTAAATCCTTAATATAATAATATTATTCTAAATTATAATTTAAATACATCAAAGAAAAACATAATCGTGACCCGATAATCACTAATCAGCTATGAAATCAGTGTGACCATCTAGTGATGATTTTGTAAAATATACCAAAAACAAAAAATTAAAATATTCAATATTCCACTGTCGGGTGCATTTGTGCGGAAGAAAGCAAGGAAGATTTGCATTTCAAATGGAATTGAGCAAATGGYGAATTCAGATGGTTGGTTATGGAGATTTTAAAAATGATATAATAATTCTTGTCAGGTTTTGAGCGGCGAGGCCAATTAAGTTGCAGATAGAGACATAAACGAATGACTTAAAAAGTCCGTTCAGTTGAAGAAATCATAAAGTAAAAATATTGATGAGAAGATATTAAATTTAAAAACACTGGTTTTTATAATTTATTGCTCGACCGTTCAACGGATTTTAAAGGAGTGAAGTAACATAGGGGAATAAAGAAATAAAAGAGATTGACCGTTTTGTTGTGCTGCAGTGTTATTGGAGTGCTGTAATGCTACTGGATCAGAAAAACTCAAGATTTGGGTGATAGGTAAATATCAAAACTTCTGATGCTTTAAAAACGTAAATAGGCTTATCTTCCATTCGAAAAAACTACCTAATCAAAAAAGCGCAACGTGTAAGAAATGACTACCTATAACATAATTTTAACACATTTTTCAGTACCACTGGCTAATTTATTCTCGTTCTATTGTAAAATCATGAATCAATTATTTTTATCATGTATGTATTATTTTCCAGAGTATGGATACTGTTGTCATTCATAATAAAAATAATTAAATAAAATAGTACAAACTAATATACTTATTTATAATCATTTATTTCAAAAATGTGTTTAAATTGTCAAGGCATTATAATGAATAATTCATTATCCTAACAGTTCCTAATCTTGTATTCTTAATCATTCTTGTGTGTATACATACTACAAAAATTAATATATTTCATGACTAACTATACTATACCGGGTGATTCTTTTATCATTGAAACTCATTATTTCAAAAATTATTAATGTTTTTGAAAATATTATTTACATAGTTTCTAGTTGTTAAAAACCCAACGTTTTTATTAAAAAATTATATTTTTAAATATTTTTTATCTTTATAATTTTTTAAAATTTTTACTTTTTTGAATGACAAAATAGAGTTTTAATTTCATATACCAAAGCAGAATATTTTT